GATGGATGGATGGATGGATGGATGGATGGATGGATGGATGGATGGATGGATGGATTTAAAACCCCCTAGTGTTATTTTAACACTTTCTGAGTACACTGACCTCCGGTGTTGGTGTTAATCCACAGTGTTGATTTCCTCAGAGTTGTCTCAACACTGAACATTGTTAAATAAGCTCCGCCCACAGTTAAGTCTTATATAAAACTTAACAGTGTTGTTACATAACACCATGCAGTGTTGAAAGAAGTATTCTGAAAAGCCCCGCCCTCTTCCACCTCACGTCAGACAGACCAGTATTTACTCAGCATTCCTTGGTGAGAAATCTTGTAGAAATTATGTTTTTGCATGTTTATGACCATTGAAGACGTTCATGAAAGTAAAAATTAGTTGTTCTGGTTAGTTTTCTTGTTCAGTTTTATCAAGTTGTTTAACTTGATCAAAAACAAGTCTTAAATGTTGTTTCRGACTGGTTCAAACAGAGTCTGTTATATCCGTGCCTTTAGCACTAATGTCTTTTGTCCACTGATGAAAAACAGTAACATAGGCCCAAATTACTACCTGATCAGGTGAGGTTCTGAAGCCAGTCAGTAGCTTGCTGTACTCTGTTCTTCTGTTACATGTCCTGATAGGTCATGTGACCACCGCAGAAAGTCTTAACCAATGAGAAGTTCCTTTGTGAACAAGGAGTTTTTCATTGTTCTGCCATGTGGGAAGTTCTAAGAAGAAGTTTGAGGAGAGAGTAACTTTCAGCTCCAGCTTCCCCCATCCCAGGGCGAGGCCATTCGTTTTTCCAACTTTATTTCCTTTTTGTAGTTTTGTTCTGAAGGAGCTTTTCAGGAAGGAGATTTATATTGATTGAAACGATGAGGCTGATTTAATTCAAGTCAGACGACCACCAGTGTGCCCGCAAGGAAGCAGCCGCTGCGGTGCCCTGGACAACATCTCCAGTGAATGCAGCCGGCAAACCAGATGACCAGGGAACTTCTGCACAGCTAAGTCGCAGACTCGGTTGGACTTCACGTGCCAGCCCAATTAGCATTGAAGTATCCATTCTGGCGTCTACAAACTTTGCCGGTAGGAAACATCTTGCTAAATTAATCTGATGGTGTGTTCAAAGATTTAAATCAGATCAGAGGTTAATCAATGTTCATTCTTCTTCCCCTGAGCTCCCCCTGTTAGCGGTAGGCTTAGAAATAGTGAGTTAGTGTCCCACTGAAATATGTGTAGGAAGTTGTTCACATGGTAATCATGTCAGACAACTTACGCCACTCCTTGGTCAAGTTTACGGAACTGATTATAAAGTGTGTTTTTTGTCTGAGAAAAGATTTGTGATGCATATATTTCCCTCTGAACCTCATTTTAAATAAAACACGGATGGATTTCCAAACGTGATTTGTCTCCATCAGTGTATTTCTTTGTCTCACGCCGTCATTAAACTGAAAGAATTAAACGCCTTCATATGTAGAGACTGAATATTAAGAGAAAAGTTTTTCTGAAGTTTTACTACAAAAACTTTAGTGGTGCCCCCGTAAGGTGAAATTAAACATTTCTTACAGAGTTTGTTTAATTTTAGCATTTAAAACCCCGACAATCTCATGAACAACATTGTGGTTGAAGACAAGCTCAGTGCAGTCAATGGGAACTGTATGTGTTCCCTTAGAAACACACAGCAGTGGGAAACACTCCTGAAAAACATTGACCGCACACTTCATTTCATCAGTCAGTTCATACTCTTCAGCAAGGAGAAAACCAGGAACGCCAATCAGGCCAGAACGATGGCAGGAAAGCTGGAAATCCTTGTAACTGAGTTGAAGTCAAAGGCAAAAAAACTCTGTTCTTTTTCAGCTTCCAGGTCTGTGATTGTATTTTGTGAGACCAAGTGCATTGCCCCAGATCAGTTTATACTCAGTAGTACCAGTCCGTTTGTTAAATTTGCGTGCATTCGGTGCACTTGCTTTCAATCTGTCATTTGCTTTTTCCAAAGCTGATTTCACCTCAAACAAAACTGGTAATATTTCATAGTTTGTTCAGTTTTTCTTGACATGATTTCAGTTGCGTATTGAGGTTCACAGTTTTCACTTTTAAACAGCTCATTTCTTCAAGTCCCTTTGCAAGCCTTTTTAACTGTGATTCAGCCTCAAGATAATCCTGATCACCTTCAGAACCCTTCTTTACAAATGATTGGTTTTGCTTCCACTCACCATTGACAGAAGAAAAAAACCTCCTTGGCAGACGATGCAACTGATGACAATGCCCGTAAAAATTCAGGATGAGGAGTGACATCATCTGTTAGTGGATCTGGTGCTGATATCTTCAGTTTCTGGCACAAGAAAGTCACAACATTGATCTGACCTCTGAATGTGTTCCTGCCTTGACTCTGTTGACAAATCAGCTGCAGCAACTGCTGAATGTTTTTTGTCCACATTCACCTGACAGATTCTGGCATCTTTTCTTCAACTGGTGCCTTTGTTTCGTTTTTCTAAAGAGAATAATAAAAGAAAAACACTTAAACACAGCTACAGGATAAAAAAGAAAGAAAGACGTCATGCAAAAGTGTAAAAACTGAAAAGTGGGGTCATAAAATATATTTTGACAGAGAAATTATTCAGATGTTCTGCACAAACCTTTCCGAATGTTGAAACTGTTGCTGTACATTTCATCAGGTAGAGACCTTTCTATATCCATAAAACTACAACTTTAAATCACATTTAAACTGGTTAAAAGACCAGATGGATGAAACAAAAGGCATGAACTATTTTTATTAATCAGCAGTCTTGGTCGAATGAACTTTAACTGCAACGTGGCTGAAATATAACGTGACAAAACTGTGGCCACTATATTTTATTCTATATTCACCAAATAAACAAAAGCTATTGAAAATTGTTTCATTTCAGGTTAAACTGAAACAGGAAGTTAACTTTTTGTAAACATAACCTACCTTTGCCCGGGCGAACAGTTCGGCAGTGGTGGTTTTTTTCTCTGATAGTCGCTCCTTTTTCCGAACAGCTTCGTCAAACAGCCGTTCAATCTCAGCAGCATCTCGGTTCCGCCAAACGTTTTGGCCTTTTATAATAGCGTCTGCGCGCTTTAGTCCACTATTTACGAAAACAAATGCATTGACAAAATGCATATATTCATTTGATGGTCGTCTGTGTACAACGTTCCTCCTGGATAACAACCACTGGCGTAGTTTTTCGCGGCTGTTGTCATTTCCTGCATCCGCCATTTTGCATAGTTAGCACAAAGCTCAGAGTGGCAGGCCACAGGCAGCCTTCAGCTCCCCCTGTTTGCACCTCCTATGTTGTCCCGTGACGTCCTGCGAGAACAGCAATGTGATACAAAAAATATCAACATTTTTAAAAAGTGAACACCAGCGGAAACCCGCCCCCCCTTAAGCGTACGGTTTGTACGCTTGAAAAAATGTTGATAATTTTGACTGACCCCTGAAGACTGTTAAATAATTTTTATCTTCTTCTCCCAGTTTCAGAGACATCCAGGACTGCATGCACTGATATGACCAGGTTCTCCTACAAGCTCATGGAAGGTGAAGCTTTTTATTTTGTCCCATCTATTTTTGATTACTCTGACCTTCCAAACGACAACGTAACGTGGTACAAAGTCCGCCCTGAGATGGAGATTATTACCTCTGATGAGAACCAAAAGGTCCATTCCCACGGTGCAGCTCTTCTTCTCTTAAACGTCAGCGCCGAGGATTCTGGGGATTACATGGCCAAGTAAGAATATTTGTCTTGAAAGCAAACAGCTCACCATTTTTCACTTCTAAGGTTTTATGTTTCAGTTCTCTGTGAACATTTCCACACACTTGTTTTTTCTCCACAGGGAATCAGTAGCATCAGGCAAATGTTTTAATTATCCCTTGAAAATTGATGTCTTCAACAAAACCAGTGGAGAAGATGTGACGTTTGGACCTATCAACAACTCTGATCTGACAAAAAGGATTCCTTGTCCAGACAACGTCAATAAAACATGTGTTACATTTAAAGGAAGATTCACCTGGTACAAGGTATGACAGTCACACCTGTGTTCAGCAGACAAGAAGAGCAACTGTTTAACATTTTTAAGCTTTAGAATGTGACTTCAGCATTAGTTTATTCTGGTTTAGTTAGGATTTTTAATCCCAACCAGAGACCCTTCTGGGTAGAGTTTGCTTGTTCCATGCATGCATGGGTTTTCTCCAGGCACTCCAGTCTCCACACATTAAAAACATGCATGTTAGGCTGTTTGGTAACTCTAAATTGTCTATAATCTGTTGTGCACAGCTCTCTTCAGGTCCCCCCACATAAACAGATTTAGGGCTGAACTTTTCCTCAGACAATCCAGAACTTTAAATCATTTAATGGTGACGTCATCATTTTAGTGACGTCATCATTTTAGTGACGTCATCATTTTGTTGATTGGTTTGAGGTCGCTGTCATTTAGAAAAATTTAATTATTTTTTTTTTCAGTTTTCTAACCAGCTCTTGACAGTTTAAGGCCAAGATAAACCACTGTTTGGAAATGTTTATCATCCTCAGCTCTGAGCCGTAGATGTTGCTGTGAGATGCTGCTGAACAAATGTCAGAAAATCCATACTAGAACAGCTGACCTTCAGCTCATCTGTATCAGTCACTGAAAAAAAGGTGCATTTCAAGTAAATCAAGACCTTTAATGAATTTAAAGATGCTTCAGATAAAGTTTTTTTAAGAGGGAGAAATCTACAGAAGCCGAGAGGGGCCATATTTAGGATATAACTTTCATTTTCTGTACACGCTTCTTCCTTTTCAGGGTCACGTGGGTCACTGGTGCCCATATCCAGCAGTCACAGTGCGAGGGGCGGGGTATACCCTGGACAGGTCTCCAGTCCATCACAGTGCTTCTACTTTTCATTTAAAATAAGTTTCCATTCTCAGCAGGTTTCTAAGGTTCTTCTTCTACATATTAAAAAGTTGTTAAACATCTGAGTGGTGCACTACTGCTACTAGTGGTGAGAAAGTGTATTACACCTTATTCACAATCAATGTGGTCCCACGGCCCTCTGTGGCCCAAAGTTAAAAACTGTTGTTCTTTTGAGGCCCTCAAGGTGGCGCTCACAGGCCACAGGTTAATAATCTCTGCTGTAGACAAACAAATCACACTTTCAGTCTGTGTAATGATACAAAAAAGACACAAACTTTTATACACTAGGCTGCCGTCAGGCCCAGGCCACCCTTGCAAAACAGATCTGTGATTGGATTTGCCAGGTTGAATAAGTAAGTAAAAGTAAGTAAGTAAGTAAGTAAGAAAGTAAGAAAGTAAGAAAGTAAGAAAGTAAGAAAGTAAGTAAGTAAGTAAGTAAGTAAGTAAGTAAGTAAGTAAGTAAGTAAGTAAGTAAGTAAGTAAGTAAGTAAGTAAGTAAGTAAGT